CTCGAAAGTAATTTCTGAATTAATATTTGTTTTATATTGTTTTTGTTTCGTTATATACGATTAAATTAAAAGTAGAATTCATTTTGGTCATTTTGAAACGCGCCACGTTTATTAATATCGGTACGTAAAGCGCAGTTTTTTTTATTCGATAACTTTAGGACTTTTAGCAGACGTCGGATATCATTTTTTTTTTATTGCCCTTGTAGGCAGACGAGCAAACGGCCCATCTGATGGTGAGTGTTTACCGTCACCCATGGACTTCAGCAATGCCAGGGGCAGAGCCAAGCTGCTTTCAATGTTTTTAAAACAAAAATAACTTGCGGCAGCAGTGCACCTTTGCTAATAATAAAAAAAAAAAAAAAAGTATTCAAAATAATATTTTATTACCTACTACTTCGACGAATTAAGTACTACAATATACGATTGAATCGAACTGCTTCTTACAATTATATCGTTGTCAATATGAATATGTAAAGTTGAATAGAATTTATGAAATGTTTTAACTGCGATTCTTTGCAACTACGGTGATGACTTTTTCTGAATATCTATCTACGAACAGAGATTTAACAAAACATTTTAAAAGCACTCAAATAAAACACTGAACATTTTCCCTAACGCTGCGATAAACATTTTAAAAGCACTTAAATAAAACTTGAACGTTAATCAGAAATGATTTTCATGAAAACCTCGGATGTTTTCTTCATAGTTTATGTAAAACTGGCGATTTCCGGATAATTCCCAGTACCTATTTAAGCTCTTGAATTTTGTTTGTTCGTTAAAATACGACGAAAGGTCGCCTGCTTGAATAAAATAAATTTTGTAATTTTGTTACTGTGTAAATAAAATTATTTATAATAATATGAGTATTGTAAAGGAAAGCTTATTATATTGTATTTAATATACCCTGATATTTTCGGTATTATTTATATCGAGTTCTTTGAAGTTCTTTAACGTTTCTAAATGAAAATATTTTTATTTACACCTCGATATTGACGCAATTTAAGTATCGGAGGTCAATTTACTAAATCTGTTATATTGCTGGTCATAGTTTTAATTTAATCCTTTTTTTTTCTTCTTATAAAACACTTCACTCGACTTTCCTATGTGACTTTCTGTCGCTGTTAAATTTCATGCTCATTTCCGCAAAAGTTCTACCAAAAGTTCTACAATTTTTTTTGTTTTTATTGAGGTTTCACGAAGCCATATTTATTTCTTAAAAACATTAAATCCCATTAGTGAAAACTCGTACGTCATCCACCCAGAGCACGGTAGCCTTGTAACTCCACAATCACAAAGTACATTGTAAATTCTTTTAAAATACGAAGCGCGGAAATTTCAGCCACATTTTAATATACTTTTCAGGCACGCCAAATACCCTTTGTGTGCGTATTGTTAGTGTAAAAACTAGGTCACACCGACTACCCCTCCGAGCCACTGCTGTATGTATTTCTGAGCATTTCACATGTAACATTGTATGATTGTTTGTAAACTCTGACATTTAATTGGAGAGGGCCTGTGTAGAACGCGAATTTAATTGTCTAGTGGCGGACAGCCATCATAGAACGCGAGATATTTGACAGATGCCTCGCTTACTACATTTCTATAGATAAGCTTGCATATTTACAAGTTCGGAACAACAACATTCGGGCGGTCGGTCTACCGAGCAATTACACCCGCTCGGTGGATGATCTTGCTTTCGTCGTCAAGCTCCAAAATAGTATCTTCATTTTACGAAAATCCTAGCCACTTTAGACGATAAAGTCTTCGTCTATATTAAGATAAAAAGAAGTCTCAGTTATACTTTAATTAAGGCTACCTTTAAACTTCAAACAACAGCGCACGACTGTTTCGTTAAACACGTGAAACACGTGAGACTGTGAGACTTTTTTGTGGCTGCGAGGTTGTGTAACAGCTCCATGAGTTAAGGAAAGTCAAACACACTAAACAGGCTGAAACACCCAATCTCCGCAGAGATAGAACTTGAAAAGAGAATGGAGTAGAGAGCTAGGTCACGAAAAACTACCACGAGACATGTAGGTCCAATTATTGGCCCTCGATTAATCTTGAGTAGTATAGTACCATAGCGGCTTTGATGGCGGTTCTCTTACATTTTGACTAAATTAGCCATAATGCCAATGATTCTTCCAGTATTTCCATGTTTTTCTTTGGCGCGGCCCGACTACTTATTGATTATGAATGCATAATGAACCACGGATGACTTAGAGCGGCCCGAAGAGAAATAAACCGCTATTTTAGACGTGAAATTGCAAATTTTATTACTAGTTTAATAGATGAAGCAAAATTTACATTGACAGAGAAAGCACTGAGCCATGATTACGAAAATTGTAATTCTAATATTTTTTAATGTTGGCATAAAAATTACTCTAACTATTTATTTGCTATGTTCAAAACTTAGCATCACAAAGATATAACTAAATGTATTATTTTAGTTGAATTTGGACCGTGAAGATGAAGAAGACCTGAAAGATAGAGAGATGAATATATTTAAAGCTAGACATGTAAGCTAAATTAACACCTAGTTTGCTCCCGTATGCCAATCCAGAATCCAAATGTTCCGGGCTATCAAAGAACAGTCGGTCATACCGGCTAAAATTGTTTACGATATTTTATTAACGATAAAATACCTCACCAATTCATCTAAATACACACCTGTGTAGCTTAACTTAATAATGAATTCGTCGTAAGGTGCCCCACGTGTCCTCGACTTTCCAAGATTCTTATTCATCTTAGGCCTTACAGTCCAAGAAGGGCCTTAGCTTGGTCCAATATGTTTCTCTAGACTGCTCTGTTCAGGATATTCTCCTTCCAGTTCCTGATAACTTTGAGGTCGTGCTCTACGCCATCTAACCATCAGGGTTTGGGCCTGCCACGACTTCTGCGGCCCTCTGGTTTGCTATGGCAAGAAGACCAAAATACCAAGACATCTACTATATGTAGTAGATGTCTTGGTATTTTGGTCTTCTCCATTCGAACTGCATGTCCTGCCCATCGAAGACTTATTTTACAGGTTTATTATATCGAATAGATTTACATGACTAACGCTGACGTATTGTTTTAAAATTTCGCGATAACCTGCGTCATAAATACTATTATCAAACGAGTTTCTACAACCATTTTCTGCTTTAATAATTACCCGCTATTTCGATGTTGTTTTAAGCGTAGACTGAGGGTATGACGCTATGAGCAGAAAAGACTGTCTACCACCTTTCTACTCTTTCTAGTGGTAATACCGAAAACAGACTATTCTAGAAGAATAATAGTGCCTATAACTGATGTATATAGTTGGAATCTGCTCTGGGACTGCAGGCGGGCTTTGGTTAGTGTCGACTAGTGGTAAGAATGTATTGTAAGCTCGTGTTTCATCGAAAAAGCGTCACGATAATCCTCTTATCGTGGCCGCCTCTAACAACATATCCAACCCAGGCGAGGGGACAACACAAAGCCGCCGTTGCCCAAAATATGTTTTATCGGGTCCTCCAGATTCAACTCTCGGTACTTTTAAGCTCTTCATGCACCTGGCACCGTTGTCGTTGAACTCGTCGAATACAACGAAGAGAACCTGGACCGTCAGAACCTGGTCAGAGTAAGGGGGCTCCCGCGGTCAACACTACAACCAGACTCGCGTCGCCACCCCTAGGACGCTCGATCGACGGATCGGCAAGGCGATAGTCGACGACCAACGACGTTGATCTCTGCGGTATGGCGGTCCTATCAGACCGATATGCTTCAGCCCATGTCTCAAAGGGGGGGCGGCTTTATCAGATAGGATATGAGCTCATCAACCCCTTTACATCAATAAAATATGTTTGTACCCAAAAGGAAATCCGTAAATAATCTTTTATATGATATCTGAATATATTCACTGCGACAAAAACGCCCATTCTGAAATTAAATCATCTATAAAAAAATATTAAATCGTTTTCCAACAAACAAATACTTAAACTGTTTATGAGGATTTCCTCCTGAGATTTTAATAAAAGGAAAAAGAAAATATTTGATATTTATTTTGTTAGTGATACGGCTTTTAAGGCAACGAAGGCTGTTTACTGGTAGTAGGACCTCTTGTGAGTTCGCGCGGGTGGGGTACCACCACCCTCCCTATTTCTGCCGTGAAGCAGTAATGCGTTTCGGTTTGAAGGGTGGGGCAGCCGTTGTAACTATACTTGAGACTTTAGAACTTATATCTCAAGGTGGGTGGCGCATTACGTTGTAGATGTCTATGGGCTCCAGTAACCACTTAACACCAGGTGGGCTGTGAGATCGTTCACCCATCTAAGCAATAAAAAAATATAAAACGGTTATTGGAATAAATACTTAAATGCCAGCCGCGCATTGAACCAGGAGTTTGAGAAATTTGTTGCTTTAACACTTGGCTTTTAGGTAGTTGTCGGCCAGCATTTTTATCGGAAGGACATTCGTCATTCTGAACCGGGTGCGCATGGTACGGGCAAACGCACACAATGCGTGCGTAGGTATGCTACATAAACAAAAACAATGCGCGTGCAACTTGGTGTACGTGAATGAAGTGAAACTTCTTTTTCGATGTGTAGTATTGTGGTTTTTTTCATTTGTCATCCTTTCAAAGGGTATTTAATTTAAGCGACATTTTGCTTAATAGGCGACATTTATCTTTATATTATAATTAAAGGTGCGTTTTATTTGGTATTAATATCAACAATTCGATGTTTTTAATTGAACTTCAATTAAGTTTTTTTTTAATGCTTAGTTGGGTTGATGAGCTCACAGCCCACCTGGTGTTAAGTGGTTACTGGAGCCCATAGACAGATACAATGTAAATGCGCCACCCACCTTGAGATATAAGTTCTGAGGTCTCAGTATAGTTACAACAGCTACCTTTAAATCGAAACGCATTACTGCTTCACGGCGGAAATAGGCAAGGCGGTGGTACCTACCCGTGCGGACTCACAAGAAGTCCTACTACCAGTAACAATAACAATGACGTCGCAATAAACTTGCAGCTCAGTGCTACCGTATCGCTCGGGACCTGAAGCAAGCCAGGGACTGCTACTACCGCGCTTCAGAGAGCTATAAGAAGAACAGGTCGTTCTTCCACGCGGCTAAAGCTTTGGAGCAAGCCCTGCTCGTCGGCAAGGAGCTCAGCAATGCTGACGAGGTATGAAATTATAACTTTTAAGTTTCTTTTGTATTTATGAATAACTAGCTGACGCAACAGACTTCGTAGTGCCTCAATTGATAAATTAAAGACTTTTGTATGAAATAAACTTAAAACTAACAAAGAAATTCGTCCGACGGAGGACACATCACAGGAAAAACAAAATTGTTATTTTTATTTAATTCCGAGCATTTTCATATTTATCTACGTACGTACGAGTTTTAGCGAGACTAACGAACAGCAATTCATTTTTATATATAGAGATTTTATATTGCTTAGACGGCTAGACGAGCTCACGGCACACCTTGTTTTAAGTGGTTACATCAACATCAACAACTTAAACGTCGTCAGCAACATTGAGCATTTTTTTTTTATTGCTAGGTGGGTGAACGATCTCGCAGCCCACCTGGTGTTAAGTGGTTACTGGAGCCCATAGACATCTACAACGTAATGCGCCACACACCTTGAGATATAAGTTCTAAAGTCTCAAGTATAGTTACAACGGCTACCCCACCCTTCAAACCGAAACGCATTACTGCTTCACGGCAGAAATAGGCGGGGTGGTGGTACCTACCCGTGCGGACTCACAAGAGGTCCTACTACCAGTAGAGCCTACCACATTGAGCAGGAGTCTAAAAAAAACACTATTTGTTGGAGTAACATGTTTGATGACGATAAAAGACCGTCAGAAAGAACGTACTGGGTTATATTTATCTATAAATTATAAATTCTAGTAAATCAATTAAGAAAACCCAGTTGAGGTCTTACGCGCTCAATATAAAGATTTTAATATGTATATGTATTTTATTTTGTAGTTGAAATCTATACTAATATTATAAAGCTGAAGAGTTTGTTTGTTTGAACGCGCTAATCTCAGGAACTACTGGTCCGATTTGAAAAATTCTTTGAGTGTTAGATAGCCCATTTATTGAGGAAGCCTATAGGCTATATAACATCACGCTAAGGCCAAGACAAGGGGAGCACCAACAAAGAATGTTTCAAAATCGGGGGTTTTTCCTTTTTTAGAGCTTCCGCTGCGTGCGCTGCAGAAGCGGTTAAAGTTTCGCTAAAATAATGTACGACAGAATTATTCACCATTAAAAATCTAAAAAAAGTCCGCGATAGCATATGTCTATATGTTAAGGTTGGCTCACTGTAACGTTTTTTATGCTAACCAAATTTGTTCTAAAATAAAGCATTATTTGTGAACTATTCCACGCGGACGAAGTCGCGGGCAAAAGCTAGTACAATATAATTGGGTTTACATTCTTTCACAACGAAAGCGAGTCGACAGTGCGATTCAGTTACTTTTTCGTAAAGTAATTGTAAAGTACTGCTTTTGTTTCTGTCGCAATGCGTTTGATTGCGAAGGACGCTGCTCGGACTGTACGGAATAAAGAATCGGACGGGCCTTATCAATAAATACTGTCTTATTAGTTTCGGTTGTTTTTTTGTATATATGTAACGGAATATATGAAGGTTATTCTCACTTCAGAACATCGGAATAAGTTGAAATTTAGCATTTATCAAAAACCGACAATGATTAATTGATAATTAAATTAAGTGATATTGAGTTGTTTACATACTAGCGGCCCGCTCCGGTTCCGCTCGGGTCTTTAACAAAAATTTCAAAAATATTTGACCCTTTTATTTTTTTAAGTAAAAGAACACTTATCGCGACATAACTATAATAGTTAGATACATGTCGTCGCGACACTGTATGTAAATAATAATGTGTTCTACAAAATCGTGGTACATTATTTTATTCTATCATCAATGGTTTTCGCAGGTCGCGCGATGTAAAGAATATTTTAACTAATTTTTTTACACCTTGGGTTACATTATTGGAGTTTTAGTAAGGATCCCTAATTTTTTTCAAAAAAGATTATAGCCTATGTCACTCGGGGATAGTGTAGCTTCCAAACAGTGAAATAATTTTTTAAATCAGTTCAGTAGTTTTGGAGCCTATTCAATATAAACAAACAAACGAATCTTTCCTCTTTATAATATTAAGTATAGATTCGGAATCAGCGATTTTTTTTCTCCATCGAATGATACTGGATTCGACGTAATTTACCTCAATTATGTTTACCCTATTAAAATAGCTGAAGAAGTTTTTCAGCTATATGATATTTTTTCCAAAATTTTAATCTTTAAATGAATCTCCTGTAAAGTTGCAAAATGTGGCTTAAACCAAATAGCCATTCACCTCTCAATATATATAATAAAATTTTATATATATAATAAGTTTACCTCATTATTCTGACCGGGATATACGGAATTAGTGATTTTGTTTATATCCGAAGATACTCGTAAATTAGTATCTTACGGCAAATACACGTTTGAGGTCATGATAAGATTTCCTTGACTCAATCTTCAAGACAAGTTTATATGCATATATATGTCTAACTGGAAGGATCAAAAAGAGAGTTTTTTTTACTGTGTGCAATGAAATAAATAATTTATCAAGATTATGCAATTTGAGTTCTTAGTAAAAAAAACATTTTTTTGTTCTTAGCCGAATAAGTGAGTAGTTTTTTTTTAAATATGAATATAAACTTCATTTATGTAAAGAGATGTACAGAGTACAATGCGGTTGAAAATAAATTTTATTATTATTTAGAAATTTACATTTATGTTTCTAAATATTTTGTAATTTTGTTTCATTTTTAATAAGTTTAATAATTAACTAATAAGTACGTACTAGTAGCGACAAAAAGACAATAGGTAGAAAATTATTTTCAACTGCATTGGACTCTTTGCATCTCTTTGCATAAAATGAAGTCCGCATCCATATTTAAAATGCTAAAGGAAATGAACTCTTCTATTTAAATAATTTGCTTTTAGAATCGAGAAGTATTACTGGAATTTATTTAAGATACCATACAACTTCTACAAATTTTGTCGAAATTAAATTATATGGACACAGTCTTCGGTCCGCGGTTATTAAGGATGAATATCATCCAAAGAGTCCAATGCGTGTGCCCATTTTACGTCAAGATTACATTGAAGTTAATTTTTTTTTTAGCTGAAATGAAGTTTCACACAACAGGTCTGCTGTTCCTTGCCATTAAACAGAAATAACCGATTTATTTGTGTGATTGGTTATCATGAACGGCGTGTACGAAGATTCTGGAGTCCGCCATTTTAAAATTGATTGACTGATTGACACAAGTCAGTAAGCAGCCTTTAATGGAAGATATCAGCATTCTGTTTCGAAGTCTTAGTAACATCAATGCTGACTTGTGAATAACGAATATTTTGTATTGGTAGCTGTTCAACTTGGCACTGGAGGCCTCTAGCCTGTACCAGCAGCATGGGTCCGGGGACAGCGCCGCCGGACTCTTGGACAAGGCCGGTCGCATCCTAGAGCAGGACACACCCCAGCTAGCCGTGAAGCTGTACCAGCATGCTGCCGATATTTCTGCCGTAAGTAGTAAATTCATAATTTATCTTATGGTGAACATGTTGATGAACTTACTTACTTAACAGTGCTTGAAATGTGGTTGATAGGGCAACCCTGAAAAATTATGTGGGTAACTTTCTTTTTATTGCTTAGGTGGGTGGACGAGCTCACAGCCCATCTGGTGCTAAGTGGTTACCTTATAGACATCTACAACGTAAATGTCACCGCCCACCTTGAAATATAAGTTCTAAGGTCTCAGTAGAGTTGCAACGGCTGCCCTACCCTTCAAGTCGAAACGCATTACTGCTTCACGGCTGAAATAAGTGGTATTTACCCGTGCGAACTCAGAAGAGGCTCTACCATCAGTAAAAATATTTATAAATATATTTAACAGCTCAAGGATCTCTTGGTTTTAAGAGGTTACCAGAGTTAATTTATTTCAAAATCAGAACATTCGTTTAGTTTGAAAGAGATAAATGCGATCGATATTGCATTTTATTGTATAATGTTTGTATCAATCTTCAAACTGGAACGTATTACCAGTAGAGTAAGAGCTTTAAATAGGTAGCACACACTCCGGTCGGCTTAGAATGCTCTACCGCTACGAATAATATTTATTCAAAGTGCATTTCCGCTTCGTTCAAAGAACTCCGTATAGTGAGGATTTTTTGCAAAAGTTGAACATGCTTCTTACCTATTTTTTCAACATTAACCGTCTAAAAAATCTGAGTAGGTTTACGGTGAAGATTAAAAATGACATAAATTATAAATGGCATTTCGTTTATGTGATGATATTATTGTAAGTATTTATATGATATTATTCACTCAAAATTGTAATTAATTGGTGATTGAAAAATCAAGTTTAAAGTTAATATCGGGTCGCGTATTCGAGCGCACTGCTTGAAATGTTTATTCTGGTAAATAATTATGAAAAGAGGTAGCAATGTGGTCGCTTTGAGGATTGAAAAATAATTTTGCTAATGCACAGATGTCACAGTGTATTTTCTCGCTGTGGAGAGAGCACCGCTAATTTATTCTGTGATCACGACTAATATATTCAAAGTTTTAAATAGAGTGCCTTGTGCTTTCCGATTAATATGTCCGTTGATATTTGATTAGAAAATTTAATGAAAATAGATGTAAAAAAAGGAGCAGGGACATTCACTTAAATCTCAATAGGTTCAAATCTTGTTCGAATCTCTTGGCACGCAATGCCCAATAAAACGCATTCTTCATAGTAATCTATACTAATATATAAATCTACAATGAATCTAAATCTACAATTTTACGGATGTTCCGTTATAACTACTGAACCATGCATCCAATTGACTTGAAACTTGGTATCCGTGTAGAAAATACATGTACTTAATTTAATGGATAGGCTAATATTTATATGAGTCTTGGACTCCCTAATACTAATGACAATAAATATTTATGTTAATTTTAAATGCCCAGCGAAGCGGGCAAGTACGGCTAGTCTATAATAAAAAGAAAACTAACAAAGTGTTTTTGAATCACGTTTAAGTCTTGTGCGATATTACAATATCGTCTATTCTATTCATCAAAGTGCACAGGTATTTCATGATAAGTACTTTGATGTTAATCTCGCTGTAACTGGCTATAATCCTGGATCTGTCTGGATCCATATATACCGATAATATTTGCTATAGTATCTACGGCCTTCGAATAAGCGGAACTTGTAGTGGGCAAACTAATATCGGACGAAGTTGAAGTTGTTCATAAATCTGCTGAGTTTATAACTACATATTACTTTATTTGTAGCCACATAAGTATAGTATTTTTTTACTACTATTATGATTTCAAAATTTCTAAATTATAGTTTGCGTAATTACTGGTGGCAGAACCTCTTGTGAGTCCGCACAGGTAGGTACCACCACCCTGCTTATTTCTACCGTGAAGCAGTAATGCGTTTCGGTTTGAAGGATGGGGCAGCCGTTGTAACTATACTGAAACTTCAGAACTCATATCTCAAGGTGGGCGGTGGCATTTACGTTGGAAGATGTCTATGGTATCCACAACACTCGGCAACGACAATTTGCGGCAGCTTCGCCACCCCCATGGCCAGGGACTGGCCCCACACGGGCGCCCCGTATAGGGCTAATGATAGCACCACCCCCGTATAGAGACGGCGCATCCCCTGGTCAGGCCCCCGAAGTTGGGTAGAAGCCGGCTTAACGCGCCGGCCACCCCCGACAAACGAGGGACCAGGTGCTGAAAGTGAGCACGGAAGGTACAACGACTGTCCAGAATGAGGCCAAGGTACTTCAGCTGCACCCCGACCCCGATACAGACGCCTCCAACCACGATATGGGCATCGACAGGTGATCGATTTACTGATTGGATTTACTGAGCGCCACGCCGAGGCCCAAACTCCTGATTTTGTCGATGACATGCGCCACCCCAGCGGAAGCAGGACGGGCAGACTCAGCAAAACTCCCCCCCAGGCCACGACCAACGTGCCGTCTGCGAAACAGATTACGCTCAGGCCCGGGAGGAGGGCACTCCTCAGCACCCAGTCATACCCGATATTCCACAAAAGGGGGACCGAGCACCGACCCCTGTGGAACACTGCGCACGACCGGGAACCGGCCCACGATCCCACCGTGTCCGGTACACGTGACTTTCAAAAAGGGTGGTAAATTTATGACGTTCTAAATGAGCTTGTAAAGGATTCATTTAATTAAAAGAAAAACCTTGATTTTTAATTGATAAACGAGTGTGTATGACGCAAAACGTATACCGCTTCCTGGATTAATTCGTGTCTGTCGCAATATGCTCGAGTTTCATAAAGGTTCGTTTATAAAGGTTCGGTTTCATGAAGCCAAAAAAAATCGCTGACTCACACTTTTGTAACATTGTTGTACAGATAAATTACTTGTTAGTTATATACATATAAAAGAAGGCACTGGGCCAATATGATTATAAAATTAAAATAATAAATTTAAATTATAAAAAAAAACGCATAAAATAAAAAAAAAAAGTGGGAGCCAACTGATTGTTAAATTTATTTTTCAATGTACAATTTTATTTACATTTCCGTTATCCTTACATGAAAGAGACAACAATTGATATCTTAAAATAAAAATTTAAGTTCAATGATTACTGTACAACGATGATAGATAGTGTATCATAAATCGAGTTGTATCGTATAGTAAATGCAGTTAGTTTGTGTTACTCTGTGTATTCAGATCCTCGATAGAAACGTTTAAGTTGGTTTCCCTCAAGTCTCGGATCATTCTATGGTTTCTACGAAACGTGTATTTGCACGTGTCGGGTGTTCTAGAGTTTTCCTTAATTAGTGTTTGTTTTGTGATTGCGAAGTTCTTGAAAGTATTCATATCCGATAACGAACCGTGAAATTTGATCGGTACAGATATCGAATCAATATAAAAGACTGTACATCTCTAGATATGCGTGGGATGAGTTTTGAAACAATATAATTTAATTTAGAAGCCGCATTTTTTTATTTACTTCTGACATTATTATTGAATTTCTTCAACGTATACTTACTATTGACTACTCTTTTTTTAATCACAGATAGTTAATTGTGACGAACAGGCACAGATAAATTGATTTTTAAATATGTACTTTAGGGCTAGTGTTAGCAATTCTCTCAGGTTGAGCCCGTGCGCTCACCTACCGATCCGTGTGAAGTTGGAATAACTCCTAAGGCTACCAACGATTGACTAGGGTAAAAAATGTATGATGCTTTATAAAAATAAATATGCACGATTTACGGAAGAGAACTCACGAGTATAGTTCGGTATGTTGGTCGTTCTTTTTTCAAAAAAAATATGTGTGGTGTCGTGGGACACCGGATAGGAACGAAGTTCCTTATTATAAAAATACTACCGTAACACCGTACTCGCCCGCTTCGCTGGGCATTTAAAATTAAAATTATTAATTATTGTCATTATTATTAGGGAGTCCAATACTCATATAAATATTAGCCTATCCATTAAGTACATGTATTTTCTACATGGATACCAAGTTTCAAGTCAATCGGATGCACGGTTTAGTAGTTATAACGGAACATCCGTAAAAACCACTGTGGATTTATATATTAGTATAGATTAATTTAAAGTTCTATTCGAGGTATAAAGAAAATAAAACTGGAAGTTTCGCAACAACTCACGGTCATTCGGTAACGTGCGAACTTATTGTGGTACACTTCATTCACGGTTGTTTGCATAAGAGTTAGTGTATTGCGCAAACGAACGCTCTGAAATCGTGGTCAATGAATGATAAAAAAATATGTAATTTTTTGTACGTTATTACAAAGTTAAGTCGTACACTGTGTGCATTACTAATAAAAATCTTGCGTTGCGGACGTTTTTTCCCGGTTAGGGTACCCCTCCGCATCGTCCCATAAGGGACTTCATTCCAAAAATATTTAGTAATGTCTGACAATGAATAACGTTTACTGTGACCGCTCCCCTGTGCATTGCAATACAAATCGTTTCAGAACGAGAGCAGCCAGCATCAGGGCATCGAGTACATAAGCAAGGCGTCCAGATTGTTGGTTCGTCTCGAACGGTAAGTGGTCTTGAAGCAATCCGTTATAATATGTCATATTCTTCATAATACAATAAGTAGTTTTCACTCACTCACCCTGAGAAACATGCCACATGGCGTCGCATCGCGAGAGCATCGGTATCGCAGGATCCGACTGATGCATGACCACGACCACTCTATCAAGAGTGTACGACTAGGAAGTTTCGTATTCTTGTGGCATGCTCTCCTGTTGTTGTTCCTGAATTATTTCCCACGCAGCGATACAGACCTCCCTACAGTCGTATTTTAATTATGTCTTAGTGCTCAGGAAACCTACCTTGAAAGGAAATTCATTCCAGAGCTCTGTGATATGTAGCAAGAACGATCTCTAGAAATGCATTGTAGATGAACCTTGCGGTACCATATTGTAGGGATGAATTTCGTATGATGGGAGGTGCGATAATCGAAGACGGTCGACAGAATCATCCGCTCTAATCCTTCAGATTGGTTTATGTGGTACAAAATACAGAGAGAACTAAAACACGTCGTGCGTATTTTCAGGGAAAAGTTCTTCCAAAGCCATTGTAGTACATTGGTATGTGAAATATTCAGAGCGCTCGGAACAATTACATAGCTATTGACGTAATTAGCTGTACTACGTGGAAAGTTATTCGATAATTAAAATGTGTCCGTGAAATATGGTTTGTTTGGGTATTTGATTTGGCTTTTGAAAATGCGAGGTATAGTTTTAACGAATGTTTACCCAATTTATTTAATTTATAATATTAATTTGTTTTATAGCTTATATAATTTAATTTATAGCTTTTAAGAATAAAAGGTAAACGATACATAAATCGAAATTAAGAAGCAAAAACGTTTTGATCGAAATTGACCGTTACTAGTGATAGGGTTGATTGTAAGTCCGCACGAGTGGGTATCACCACCCTGCCTATTTCTGCCACGGAACAGTCACGCGTTACAGGTTGTAGCGTTGAAGCAGCCACTATACTTACTATACAATTGAAACATAAACCTCGTCTACCAAAACTGGTGGTGGTACTCAAGTAGCAACGCCTTATAGTTCCGGTAATCACTTAAAACTGGGTTCTGGGTTAAAACTGGGTTTTCCTGATTTTTCCTCTCGTAAGAATCATCACACCTAACGAATGACCTCGTAGAGTTCAGCCTTTACGACAGTCTAACTTTTTTTATTGCTCAGGTGGGTGGACGAGCTCACATCCCACCTGGTGTTAAGTGGGTACTGGAGCCCATAGACATCTACAACGTAAATTCGCCACCCAATTTGAGATCTAAGTTCTAAGGTCTCAGTATAGTTACAAAGGTTGTCCCGCCCTTCAAACCGAAACGCATCTGCTTCACGACACAAATGGGCAGGGTGATGGTACCTACCCATACGGACTTACAAGACGTCCTACCACCAGTAATTACGCAAATTATAATTTTGCGGGTTTGATTTTTACTACACGATATTATTCCCTCACCGTGGAAGTAAATCGTGAACATTTGTTAAGTACGTATTTCTTTAGAAAAACTGGTACGTGCCAGCGGGATTCGAACACTGATGCATCGCTGGATACGAATGCACCGGACGTCTTATCCTTTAGGCCATGACGACTTCAAAGCTGTACTCTTTATATTACTTACCAATGTCGTGGTCTGTTTTCGAGTCAAGAGGGTTTTAAAATAATAGTGTTTGAGTAGCGTTTGATATGCTTTCAGCTACGACGAGGCTGTCGATAATTTGCGTCGCGAGATCGGGTTCCATCTTGAAGCGAATAACTTGCCGGCCGTGGGCAGACTGTGCGTGGCCATCGTGCTGGTACAACTGGCCCGCGGCGATACCGTCGCTGCCGAGAAGAGCTACAAGGTAATCGTATTCAATGTGGTGCAATGTTAGAGCTTTTTTTTTAGGATTGAAGGATTAGTGATGGCCCGGAGGCCTTTCCAGTTTCACCAGGACAGGTGGGCGAGCAAAGGATCAGCCAGGATAGTGTTAGAGCTATGTAGGCATGATGTAACTTGACTATAACGTAAATAATGATTGAACGAGTATGGTGCTAGCGTGAGTAACGTCCTTGTGTATAAACCATGTGTTTCTTACTGGTGGTAGCACCTCTTGAGAGTCCGCGCGGGTGGGTACCACCGCCCTGCCTATTTCTGCCGTGAAGCAGTAACGCGTTTCGGTTTGAAGGGCGGGGCAGCCGTTGTAATTATACTGAGACTTTAGAACTTATATCTAAGGTTGGGTGGCGAATTTACGTTGTGGATGTCTATGGGCCCCAGTACCCACGTAACCCACTTAACACCAGGTGGGCTGTGAGCTCGTCCACCCATATCAGCAATAAAAATTAACCTTAATTTTCCACAAATTATTTAACGCAGTATTCTTGAATTAAATAAAACTGACCTCGCCTTTTTTTTTCAATAACAGAGAGTTCAGTCAATCTATATAGATTGACTGAGCTTATATAAGCAAAATCCCTTTTTTTTAGCTGAACAGGTTTTATACAAAAATTACATAAAAAAAAGGTTTTTCTTTATATTTGCCGGATAAATAGACTGTGTATGATTAGTATACTTTTTATTTTTTCTAGTTTTGTTAAGTAATTTCTGCGAGTACTAGTCGAATCTAAGTCTTGAAGTTCCGGTACTTATGGTCGAATTTCGATCATCAGTCAAAATGATATCATTAATGACTAAGCCTAGTCTTCTATTAAGGGATTCTGTTGGTATTATTATGTAGTTATGCAAATATTAATATATTGCTTTGTTATTTTATAGTTGCCCTTTTTTTATTGTACATACGAGAACTATGTCCCCGCCCACTCCGTGTTGATTTGCACTTGGAACTCTTAGATACCGTAACGTCAATGCCAAAGTCTCATCTTGAGACGTAGCATCTAAGGAATAATCTCTTAAATGTATATCGGCTGCCCCACCCTTCAAACCCGATCACATGACTATTTCGTCATAGAAATAGGCAGAACGGCGGTAAACGTATCAGTAATAACATAATTTTAGTATATTAAAAAAAATACATCAAGCTTTTATGTTTGGTTTTTAAGCCAATACTGAGTTTTTGTATAATCGATCGAAATTTAACTGGTGATCCCCGGTGGTCGAAATTCGACTATAATTAATTGAAATTATAAGTTTGTACACTATTATGATTCTATTATCAAAGACTATTATACTTCACCAACACTACATACACTTTTGACGAATATTAATAAAGACAAACAATATTTAATCTATTCTCGATTTGACCACAGACTATATAAATAAAGAAAAGTTTGAAAATAAACAAACAGTATGCATGCGTGTGCGTGTCAAATACACGGTAGTGTGTGTAATGTTTTTATTTATTGACTTAATATATTATTACTGCATAATCTCTATAAGTTTGGGTAATTTCATAGTGTTCCTTTCGTGTAAAAAGGAGTAAAAAGTTTTTGCTTCAAGTTTTAATATATAGATTCTTCCAAAACCTTTAAAGGAATGGGGCGGTCACTGCGAAATGGCCGAAGTGCAGACGTTGGATCAGCTGCTCCAGGCCTACGACGAAGAGGACCCGGATTCCGCCCGCAAGGCTCTCCGTTCCCCGTTCATCCGCAGCATGGACGTGGAGTACTCCCGCCTGGCTAACTGCATCCCGCTTCCGGAGCCACTGGACCCGATGATGCGGGCCGGAGTGCGAGAGAACGCCGCGCCGTCGTACGTCAGCCCTAACGCCAGTACATCCGCCTCGGTGGTACGTACCCTCAGCTCTGATACTAATATTGTTTAGACAAGCAATTCAAACTATGTATTTATATTGTACCTTTTTAAATCCCAACTTGAAAATTTGATGTATGTTGGTAAATATATTGAGGAGTTTCCTAAAAAGTCTGACATACATAATAGAAATACTAGGAAAAAACACAAGCTTGTTGTGCCGATGAGTATGTTACATAAGATACGAAATTCATTCGGGTGTTTGTCTGTGCGCCTGTACAACAAAATCCCACAAGATGTTCAGAACCTACATATACATAGGTTTAAGAAAACTATTAAAGAACATCTGTGCAATAAAGCTTACTATAAAGTCAATGATTATCTAGAAGATTGCACAAAGTGGGAATGAGTTGCTCGCTCCGGGNATTCATTCGGGTGTTTGTCTGTGCGCCTGTACAACAAAATCCCACAAGATGTTCAGAACCTACATATACATAGGTTTAAGAAAACTATTAAAGAACATCTGTGCAATAAAGCTTACTATAAAGTCAATGATTATCTAGAAGATTGCACAAAGTGGGAATGAGTTGCTCGCTCCGGGCATTTCAATATTGCAATAATTGTTACGTTATAATAATACTCATTGTAAAAATGAATATTAAAACTGAGTTTCTTGCCAGTTCTTCTCAGGACGGAGGCTAGTTTTTGTGAATTGGCGGTAGTTCTTTTTGACGTTCAACAAGTATGTACTTTCATTTATGTTGAGTATTTTTTTTTTGATTTGATTTCATTTGATATCAAGAACTATTTACTGATTAAAATATATATCGCGGGCCGTTGTCTGGTCAACCCTGCCCTAGAGTATTGTTAACTCAACTCTGACTTCCAAGGACACCCAAAGATTAACGTGATACACGCTCGTGTAGAGAACACTAGTACGGTAGTTCGATTTATTATATGGATGGATGGATTTATTATATGCGATGGAACTTTTTGGCGGGAATGCGAGGAGTGAAGTTGTATGATTTGTTTTATTTTGTCTATTTAGTGTTTCTTCAGGTTTAAATACGTAATAACGGTGGTTTATTAACTTTTTAATATCTATGAAAGTGCACAAATGTGGGGAAATGAAACAAAGCTGCCGGACGTAGCTTCTCGGGTTCCTCCAAAAAGTCGACTGAAAAAGTCTCAATAGATAACCACCATTTTACTGAGATTATATTGCATCCCATATCATCTCATTTCATTTAATTTCATCTTATTTGATGAATGTCTCAAATTAATCATCTTCAATTAATTTCATTTCACTCTATATTATCATTTTTCATAAAAATAAGAATATAAATTAAAATAAGACTAAAGATCTAATAAGACTAGATCTAAAGGTCTTAGTTACCAGGTCATAATATCGCTTTAAAAAATATATATAATCCGATGGTGACACTCGAAATATTGATTAATTGTTTTACAGGAACATCATCGTGCCTACGACGAGGAGAATGAGGAATCTCCCTACGAGCCCGTCACTTACGGCCCCAAGAAGATCGAGGAAGAAGACGAAGACGAGGAGCTCTGCTAAATCAATTACGTAATAAACCCGTTTCCTTAACATCCGCTTCCCGAATACAAACCTTTAGACCACACACATAACCCAGAAACTTTTAGGCGAGGAAGGCGTTAATGAATTCGAGTGGTGCTTCTTCCTTTGAGAAATTTATCGGAGGAGGAACTTAGTGATGGATTATGAGCTGTAACTGTAATTTATTGACGACACACAAACGTGACACAAGTTTTTTTTTTTTCGTTACATGTCGAGTCAGCAATGTATAGCGCAGAAAACGCTAAGAGTCAATAGTCGCACGGGTTGCGTGATTTTAAATTTTTGTGTTGCCATTACATTGATTGATTTGAATCCAAATGTGATGTTGTATGATTATTGTTTAATCTCATACGATTTCTTTCTGTGATACATGAATTATGTACCTTATTTTATTTCGTTTAATTAAAACACACGCCGTAATTTGAATATAATTTTACGTTTGCCATCGAAAACACTACCGTCACATAATCGTACCATATCGTCTGATATGTGTTCCAACCTCTTATCTATCTTGCGTATTCTGTAAAATCGTAATGTTAAAGCGAAACGGGTTAATATACTAGTTACATTCCTCAGCTTAAGTAATTACGCCCATAGCGATTGAAACCTTCACTTTGAATGTATTCCGTAATCAAATATTATTAGATATTAGTATAAGGGGATAACGCCGTACATAATTGTATTACCGTAACGAAATCTGGCAACGCGTCATTGTCTCATATCGGATGACGTCATTAATCTTGTGATTGTGTTGTTTAGTGCAATATGCTATTGATCCGGCGGTTCCCGAACATATGTTATCATTAATCTTTAACATTTAATCATGTAAGTGTATGTTTAGAAGATGCATCCTTTTGTTTATTTAATTGTTTTGATAGTTAATTAACGATACTTTTCATATATGATTCTTTGTATGCTCAGTTTTTGTATATTAATTATATTTATGTACTTTTTTTTAAATAATTAAGTAAGTTGTTAAGTTTTTAATCGGTAATAGAATCTTAAATAGAACGACACTGTCCTAAATTCAGCCAGGCTAAGCGCATTTATACGAATCGTTAATCGAACTATTATTCAGTTGTGGTCTATGGATTTCCATTGACCATTCAACATCTCGAGATTAATGCGACAAATATTATATACAACACCGTCCGTTCAATTCAGACCGTCATCGACGACTAGTAAGTCGATTATGCGATCGTATGCATGTGGTTAGCCCGAGCGTAACAACAGCAACTACAGTGAATTTGTTTGCATAACTTTAAAAAAAAACTACTGCTGTAGCGTTGACAATAAAGAAACGTCAAACTTCAACTGCCTATTTAGAACTAAGAACGAGTCTGAAAACACGCACAAAAAGCGTAGATATCGCTTAACGTGGCAAAAGGATATAACGTTTTGTCTTTTGTATTTGGCGTTTCAGCCGCTGCCTTTGAAACAGTAAGACTCGATAAAAAACTTAAATAGCAAGTATCGTAATCGTTTGAGCGTAGTAAGATTTCGTTCGTATGTATTTGATACTTTAGCCGCGGCTAACGTTTACAGCTAAGGTTTAGCGAGACAATTGCTGGATTTACAAATGGAAGATTATTGTGCATTTTACGATACTAGAATTTTTTTTTCTTATCGACAAAATTATTTGAGTGGCAATAAAACTTTTAAAATCCGAGTATGTAGCTATCAGGACTACATAATCACATTTCAGCAACGACTAACTTCAGATTGTTCTATTCAAATGCACAATAATCGACGGACACATATTTAAGACTCTATTCATGTAATTTTTTAATATGAAATGCATCATTAATATAATATGAAACAATGTAATATTAACCACGCATCAGTGGGATATCTATAGTTCAAGTTCAATTTGCCGCGTTCAGTAAGTGCAGGCGTCAGTTTTAATGATGTATAAGTAAAGTGGAGAGCCCACTATATGTTCACTTTTATTAGTAATAAATGTAATCAATAGACCAGCGTTATTATTAAAACCTATCTTGTCGTTTATACCACTTCCATCACCTATCCTTAGTGGTCACACAGTATAATCTGAATTGAATAAAGATCTACGACCACCGCCCAGATGACCACCATCCGACACAGTCCACTGAGTTTCTCGCCGATCTTCTCGGTGGGTCGCGTTTCCGATCCGGTGGTAGATTCTGCGAAGCACTGCTCTTGCTAGGACCAGTGTAGCAACACCTCCTGGTTTGAGCCCCGAGAGCTCATCTACATGCTAGGGTTACGCGGACATAGCCTCTCAAGGTGGTACGGTAGAAAAAAAAAGAACCAGATTACGTCAATCTGCTTAAGGACATTTGTCAGCGAATTGCCAAATTATGTATAAGGTATGCCTTATTGAATAAAAACTCTCTGATTCCTAAGGATTCCTTTGAAACAAAAATTCCAAATCCAATTACATTTGCGAAGCAGACTTAACCTAATAGGTGTATGACTCTAAGATCCATTCCGACAGGAGCCCTCTTCTTCGATATAGCGAAGGCGTTCGACAAAGTCTGGCACAACGGTTTGATATACAAACTGTATAACATGGGAGTGCCAGACAGACTCGTGCTCATCATACGAGACTACTTGTCGAACCGTTCGTTCCGATATCGAGTCGAGGGAACGCGTTCCCGGCCCCGTCACGTCACAGCCGGAGTCCCGCAAGGCTCCGCCCTCTCCCCGTTACTATTTAGTTTGTATATCAACGATATACCCCGGTCTCCGGAGACCCATCTGGCGCTCTTCGCCGATGACACCGCCATCTACTACTCGTGTAGGAAGAAGGCGTTGCTTCATCGACGACTTCAGACCGCAGCTACCACCATGGGACAGTGGTTCCGGAAGTGGCGCATCGACANTTTCTATGAGTGTTATTTTGCAATCATTACGAGTATTATTTACCAATCCTATCATCGGACGCCATGAATCACGCGTCATCTGTTGGAGGTGATGTTGAGTCAAGCTCCATAATTTCCGAGAGGGAAGATGTCCAGGCGAGACGCGATGGAGACGCCTCGCGTTCGAACAGCTCGTCAAGCGAAAAAGAACAAAAGGAGTCTCTGCGTAAGAAACGACGGGATTCAAAGGTAACGGTCGATCTTCGAATCGGCTCGTTATCCCACCAGGTCAGTGACGTTGTAAATCTAATAATGCATCAACTGTGTGTAACAATTGAATGTAACGAAAATTGTTGTAAACAAATTGATCTCGTCAATACGGAAATTTTGACAAAAACACAACAGATTTAAACTAATAATCTTTGTAACATAATTACTGAAAACTTTGACAAATCGTCTCCGTCGTACAAGTTACCCGTAAAAAGCGTTTTAAATTGTATACGGAAAAAAGGGCCGTATGTATAGAAATAAGACGTCAAAGTTTAATTTCCGTGGTCTCTAACAAAGTATCCTGTTGCCAACGCACCACTCATTGAGGAATTTTTGTTTGATAATAGTAAATTGAAATCTATTCAGTCCCTCGGAGGGCTACAATCCTATTTGTCACGATCTCGTACAAAAGGTAAGCCAAACATTATAAACAATCATAGTCTGTAACATCTGGCACAATCCAGAGGGGGGCAATTGAAGACACCGACGGGAGGCACTGAGTGCCACCAAAATTGTAATAATTTGTAAACCATGTATGGTTACCAAATACCGTAAAAAAAAAAAAAAAAAAAAAACTCTAAGAAACAATTTAAAAAAAAAAATTTGTGCGGACCATATCAAACGGAGTCGAAATATGAGGATCTATTACACAAATCTCACCAGTCTCACTCTTTCGGATAATAAAGATAAGTAAAGTAGAGGCATCACTTCATTCGAAGCGGAGGTATGCAAGTCCCATAAAGTTTGATACGGTTATTAGGTAATTTGTCTTACTTGCACAGTTTGACCAAACTGCAGTATATTATACTTTATATTTCGATCTAATTGTTTTAATTACACTTTTAACATCAACCCCAGACATACAAGGGCGTAATAAAAAATTAGGATTCCCTGTGTTATTGGTACCGGAGACTGCCATACTTACGCCCCTAGCGGCAAACGTAGGCAAACCTTCCAACTCCATACATATATTTTTCTCGGGCCGGGGGCCGAACCTTTTTTTTTTATTACTTAGATGGATGGACGAGCTCACAGCCCACCTGGTATTAAGTGGTTACTTGAGCCCATAGATATCTACAACGTAAATGCGCCACCCACCTCGAGATATAAGAAAACCTCCTACGAGGTCCCCGCGTATGTTCGGCGACGACAGCGACGACTACATATAAACTTGAGTTAACTTTTACGCTATCGAGAGCATTAAAAATCTCGCACTAAGCACACTAATGTGTGTACCAAACCCACGACCCTCGGCGCAACAAACAGGGCCGCTAACTACTTCACCACCGAGATACTCTCGTGGAATTAATTACCTTTGCTTAATTGCTTGCATTGTTTTTTGAATGTAAATTGTGTTTTGGTGTGCAATAAAGTGTATTCTCTGTCTCTCTCTCTCTTAGACGGGCGTACGAGCTAACGGCCCCCGCGGTATAGTTACTGGAGTCCATAGACATCAACAGCCTAAATGCTAATACCCACTTGAAACACGACTTCTAAGTATCAGTATTACAGTATCGTAGCAGTTTTACAATATATAATTATAGAATCGTCACCTAAGGGTTTGCAAGTGAAACGCTCTGTGGCTACTTATCTTGTACTTGGCTACAGAATACGCACTTACAACAGTAATTACGCATAGCTTTCCTTAAAAAAAAATTATAACAGCACAGATCGCAATGTAACCACCAGCTTCTCTCTGAACATTTTCTGGTACTATGATCTAAACTTGTCCTAAAGTGAGAGTGGTAGCTGTTTGAGAATTGGTGGATTAATTAATGGGATTCATCTATCATTCATCCGTGTTAGTTGTGAACACTACATCCAAGTATGTTTCAAGAGAATACTATTTTTCCCACATATCAGACTTTGGTATTAACTTATATTTTGCAAGAATTAATTTAACAATATTTAAGAAGGCATCAGTTTACCACAATTTTTGTCTAAGTGGCAGTACCCTCAGGGCTATTCTGGCTTTGCCATAGGTGGTGGATGAGCTCACGAGAGCTCAGTTTGAAAGGATTTTCTAAAATCTGTCCTAGCAAAGGCTGTGTTTTGCTGAATCTACTACTGGATCAAAATAGCGACCTGCTGAAAAGATCTGATGAGAAACTCAGTGGGTTGTCTGTGGGTCAAGCAATTTTAACATTTCTGTTGGTACTACTGATGTCCATGAACAAAGATAACCACAGGAATGTTGCCATCTACAGAAATACTATAATCCAAATATTGAAAGGTATTCTCACATTCACAAGGGTTGCATTCTTAAATACACACTGGTGCCTATGTGGTATAATAAACAGTGAGGCTTGCAACATTCCTTGCCTATATAAATGTTAATAATATTAATCGCTGTAGCTATTGTTATAATAATTATTCGCTGTAGCGACATTGCAATAAAGTACAAGGGTGTAAATTATGTAATAGCTCAATGTTAAGATTGAAGCGCATAGCAGCCTTATTTGGTAATTATTTTAATGATCATTCTTACTTAGTATTAATACTTGAAATTTTTTAAATTGGCCATTTAAACAATACAGCTCGAGGCAATTAGCAGGTATGTTGGAAAATTTCACTGTTATTACTAGACATTGGTGGATATACAATACTGTGAGGATGATTGGCTTGAAGATTACTTGATCGGCATAATATTACTAAAAAAATAAACTTTTGTTCAATGTTAAATTTACATTATAATCCTAAAAGCCTTAAAAATAGAAATACATTTTCCTTAAATTTTATGATAACTTATTTTTCTCAATCTATTCCACTAACCTATATTTATTTGTTAAGAATAAACATACATTGTTTAACTGATACGCACAACAAATCTGTATGTATGTTTCATATGCATATGTGATTTTTGTTAAAATGTATGGCTTTATATCCCTCATAAACTACAAAATAAAGTATTTTATTAAGGCAAATTATTAATGAGGCGACTAACAACTTATTAGGCGATTAATACATGGTTCCAAAAAAAATCATTTGGTAGTGGTTAAATATTTTAGCAACAATTATATTATAATGAGCTACAAAACATAAGATCTATAATAACTAAATAACGGCTGCCACTATAAGATAGTAAATATATTAAACAGGAAAAATGAAATAATATGTGAGGTATTAAAAATAATGACTTGGCAGCTAATATTAACAGTGGGATATCAAATATTGTATTGTAGTAACTATTGGCTTCCATATAAAAATACACTTTNGCAACAATTATATTATAATGAGCTACAAAACATAAGATCTATAATAACTAAATAACGGCTGCCACTATAAGATAGTAAATATATTAAACAGGAAAAATGAAATAATATGTGAGGTATTAAAAATAATGACTTGGCAGCTAATATTAACAGTGGGATATCAAATATTGTATTGTAGTAACTATTGGCTTCCATATAAAAATACACTTTCGGGCAGTAATTTCAAGCAGCTATAAAAATTAAAACGGGTCCCAATTTTAAGTATTAGGATATGAGAATTTTTGTTGTAGAATTGTAAAGTATTGAAAAATTTGACAAATGTGTTGGTTGCATAGAAGCAAAGCGGAGGCGGAGGCCGAGGCGCGGGAGGTGGAGCGCGCTATCAGCCAATAGGAAGCGACGACGGCCGATCGTCACAGGACTCGCTACTACTTGTTATTGTTTGTATTATTCAAGCGCATAAGCACTCGTAAACTTTTTCTAAAATAGTATTTTACGTATTTTGGGAATCAAAGCTACGTTTAAATGCAGAAATGAATCAGTTGAAGTTAGCAGGACCTAGTCGTGTGATGAATTGTGATGATGGAGTACCGGATTATTGCTAAAGTGAATCAGAACAAGAGGGTCAAGAAGAACCAAAACCGAAGCGTGTACGAGGACATAACAAACTTTGGGTATTTTGTTATAAATTTTCCAACTTAAAGAGGCAGAAGATTTTGTGAATTCAGAAAAAACTTGGTCTCGGACATTCACACGAATGACAGAAGAGGGACAAAAACGATTTTACAGATGTAACAAAGTACGGAAGAAGGGACCACAGTGCGCGGCAGCGCTGTATTTGCTGTTTGAATGTGGATCCGACTGTGTTTTTGTTTATCGTACGGAAGCTGATCATAATCATAATGACATTGGGGCACGAGACAATTACGGTATTAATGATCAAACTAAAATTGAATGCACTTAAAGCCAAAAGCTATATTAGCTGCTCTTCAAAAGATCGATGGAATTAACATGCCTACAAAAATACAACTCAATAATTATTTAAGTGACAGACGGCGAATTCAATTTGGGCAACCTACTATTTACTTAGGCGAATTAGAAAAGTGGATACATGACCACGAAAACATTCTCGAAGACGAAGATGAACCATTTATTATGAAGTACTGGATATTGGAGAGTGACCAACCTATTTTCAGGTTCGTTTTGACAACAAAAAAGGTATTGAAATTTACAAGTTCTATTGATGTTTTGCACGCGGATGCACCTACAAGTTAATTTGGCAAGGTTTCCCTGTTTTGATAGTAGGAACAACAAACAAAAACCGGAAATTCTATCCGTTTTGTTTAGCAGTTTCAACAAATGAGAAGCAAGAAGACTTTGAAATGGTTTTTAGGGGTTTAAAGGATAAGATTGACTCTGTTTGACCTCGATTTCAAACCAAAAGTACTAGTGAGTGATGCAGCTCCAGCAATTAAAAATGCTTTCTTGGAAGTATTTGGTTTTGATACCACGGTACGCATGTGTTGGGCGCACGCCATAAAAAATATTAAGAAAAAAGTCGAGCAAACGGTGGATAAAAAAAACAGAAAAGACATTATGCAGGATATATATGCTTTACATGACGCATCATCACAGGAAATTTTCAATGCTGCATCGCAAGCTTTTATTGTGAAACATGCTTCAAAGACTTCATTTATAAAATATTTCGAACAAGAATGGCTGATCAAAAATCCTAACTGGTTCTTAGGAGGAGCAGCAACTCCTTCACCGACTACTAACAATGCTTTGGAAGCTTTCAACAAGTCAATCAAAGATCATAATACGATGCGGGAGCGCTTTCCCTTATCACGATTCCTTACTGTGGCAAGCGAGATGGTTACACATTGGTCTAATGATATCAATGAAAATTCATTCCCAGAAACTCATAATATTGAATTAAAAGAATGGACAAAAGGATATTGTTGGGCAAAACAGAATGTTAAAGTAGACTTTAATATCTGATTGTAATAAAAAAGTATATTTAGTACCTAATGAAGAAGTTAAGGCTACGGGCATGACATATGATGAATCATGGAATACATTTGATGAGTTGTTGCGAAAAACTTCGCATTTTGGAAAACCGAATTACCTAATGCAGGATGAAAGCAAGACACATGCACTTGTCCTCAATTCTTTAAAATATACATCTGTAAACATATATTGGGTCTAGCCATACGGCTAAAACTAACCACTCCACCTTTAAAGGCAAAATTGATTCCGAGTGTGCTCAAAAGAAAACGTGGGCGCCCTACTAAATCAAAGCCTGCACTAATATTGCAACAGCTTTTTTTGTTAGTTGTAGTACTTTTTATCTACCTTGATATAGCTTCTTTCATTTATAATGTTTCATAAATAAATAAAGATAATTGTTCTACTTTTGTGCCTTTTACTGTTTACCATTAAAAAAAATAATAGTATAGACCAATAATATTTTTTGCATGCCGCAATTTGCATTATTTAGACCCTATAAAATGTCGCAAAGAGTATGTTTTTTATAACTATGTGCATATTTTATTCTCATCTCAGTTAATTTTATAAAAAATCTCATTGTATAATATATAAAGGCCTATTCTCTACTTTATATTCGCCGCCAAGTTGTCGCTTAACAATAAATTCAGTTGCTTCACCAAAAAATCACTGCCAATTTAAATTTAAATAAAGCGAATATAGCAAATAGAATACAATATAAAGTTGCTACTTTATACTTAAAATGCTATTTTACTGTAGCTGCCTAACCCATTATTTTTGCTACCCGTTTTAATTATTTTTAAAATCCTAAACGGGATTAGTTTGTCGCCGCGTTAAATACATGCCTTTTATTAACAAATTATTGAACTGTACAGTTATACTCTAGTGAGGGATGATTTTTATAAAGCACTTAAGAGTTTAGATTCTCAAGTCTTCAATCTTAATCTAAACTGATTTAACTTATATCTATGATTGTATGGACTTATGACTGAACATAGTATGAATGTATGGCGGTACCATAGGAGGTACTGATGTGGGCTGCTGAGGTGCTTGTTCTTTGTCTTTATTGTTCTTCGTTTTTCTGAACTGGAAACCATTCTTACGGAGTATCTTACGTAAGGTTTCTCTAGAACCTTTGAAATTTATTTCTTCCTTTAAAATTTGTAGCAACTTGTTAATAGTTGGAACTTCTTTTTTGAAAGCATAGAATTCGTGAATCTTTCTTCTGATTACTTGCAAATCATACTCATCAACTTCAATTTTACCTTTAGTTCGTACTCTTTTTTTTGGACTCTTTTTTAAAGTTTCAGGGTCTAAGAGGCCTTGTTCCACTAGTCGTGCTTCCCTCGCGATGTTAAGAACGGTGCGCTCTGAAACACCTACAATCAAGAACTATTAAAATATAGAAAATAAATATATTTGCTTGATAATATGACTGGGGTAATATTAATATTTATTCGTAGGGTAATAGAATATTTATGACTACACGACTAATAACGTACCTGTGGCGGCCGAAACTCGAACATAAACTTTACTCAGAGGAATTATAGGAACTTGCATTCGTTTCTCTTCGTCCATAAACTCTTTCACTTTTAATATTATTTCGCGCACTTCACTAGTTATGTTTTTAGGCATTTTGAGATGTGACTATTTAATATAAACACAAAGATTAAGGCATTAATACCTAGAAAGGGGTATGTTGTGTGACTTAGGCTCCAGGTTCAGCTCAAATTTTAAAATTATAACTTAGATATTTATATGTAATGAACCTAGCTTAAAATCAAAGCTCAAAGAGACTGAAATCAGAAAATTCAGAAGGTGCTATTGCTATGGCGGCTTGCTGCTTTTCTCTGCTTTGTTTAACTTTTTAAGCATGGCAATTTTAAAATAAAATCATTAAACACTGCCATGCGCGTAAGATTTTTTTTTCGTAATTCATATCTTAAATTTTATTATGTTTAGTTTATATTAATATTACGTAAACTATGTACCTATCATTTTCTTCATTTCATAACCATAATATAAATATCTCAAATCCCTTTGCCAAAAAGTATCTTGTAAATTTCCCAAGAGTATGGAAATTGATCAGCTTTCTAGGCCCCTATAAGAAATAGAATTATTACTAAATTATTTAAGGTTTATGAAATAAATATTTCTAAATGTGGCAGACACTAATTAATAGTTACTAGAGTTCCCTCTACGGAATAGATCAAAATATGTTTTCCAATAAGCAAACATAACCAAACTAATAATATAGTAAAAAAAATTAGCCCTCAGATATTTTACTTCAATTAAAATATAATTAAAAACTCTAATTTTGTAATAGTACTGATTACATTTTAAAAAATATCAATGACAGTCTAACAATTCCAGATTTAATTATTTATTGTTCGCGTCTGTTATAGATTTTAGATTAGATCTTATAAAAAAACTAGCGATCCGCCCTCGCATCGCTTTTTTATTTTTTATTGCCCTGGTAGGCAGACGAGCATACGGCCCATCTGATGGTGAGTTATACAAGAAGATCGCCAGCTGAGCGACCGTGACGGAAACCGTACTGTCGGTCACTGATCACACATTCATATGATTTATGGTAGACAGACAGAAATCATGGTAAAATTAAAATGTGTAAAATCACACTGTTAATGTTCTAAGTGTTTTTTTTTGGTCAGGAGGAAATCGCCGATCTTCCGCCCTCCACTGGAAATGGAGGGCTGGCCTTGTCAGAGTCGACTTACTAAAACCTCCTGTCGCTCAACAACCAACGTCCAAACCTCACATTAGACAGAACTCATGAAAAGGCTAGGGGGGGAAAGTGTAGCGATTAGTGCGGAGCACATCTCTCCCATCACCCTCCCCCTCGGGACACCGGACTGGCGCATGGCGGTCGTCGGCACCACGACCACCAGCTCTCTCGGTCGGCAGGCTATCCGAAGCCCACCTAGATGGTGCCGGTTAGAGTGAGCTATCCTACGGAATACCTCGCTGGACCAGAACCAGCGTGGGTCGAGGATAGCCAGCCTTCCATCACCTGGATGCTCTTGCGTAAAACGCGTACAGAGCAGTTTGCACCTCGTCTTCTTAGGCCCCCCTCGCCGGTCCCCAGACCGACATGTGAGGGGGTCCCGAAACACTTAGAAGGCCAGGGCTTGGGCGAGATTCGCCTCGACGGTCCTACGACCAGGCAAAGGATCAGCCAGCCGTCTGTACTATGACTCCAGCATGTTCTAAGTGTAAAAGTTATTTAATAGATTGTTATTTCACGTGAATTCAATTCAATTCAATTCAAATTGCATTTTAAAGCTTTAACTAAATATCGACATGTACATGGTATATCGATATCCCTCAAAGGCCTGAATAAACAATATGAACAAAATTAAATTAAACGTGTAAGACTTAATGTGGCTTTTCGTGTCTTCCATAAAGCTTCGTGGAATCTTTGTCTATTCTCACCATTAAATAAACAAAAATAAGTTAATAAATGTCTACATCTATTAAATACACAATGATATTTTGTTAAGTGGCAGGTTATATGTATACATAGTTGCCCAGTGAATTTCTTGGCAGGTCTCAGTGGTCTGGTGGCAGATTCTGCGAAGCATTGTTCTTGCTAGGGTTGGTGTTAGCAAAATCCTTAGTTGAGCCCGCGAGCTCACCTACCCGTTCGCGGAAAAAGAGTTATTGAGCTATAATAAGCCTTTTTTTATTCAAAAGACGATAATAACACTACTCACAAAGTTGTGTGAATTATTTTATATTTATGATGAAACGTATAACATATAACGTATAACGTATAACGTATACAGTAGATTATTAACTATTTAGCGTCTTTGAAAGTACAAAAGTGTGAGAAAATGAAACTAAATCCCTTGGGTTCTTCCAAAATGTCCGTAAAGTCTTTGTAAAGAACCAAAATTTTACTTTATTTTATCCCATCTCCACCCCTATTAACTATAGAGTCTCAAATAAATCGACTTCAACTCATGTCATCCATTTCATTTTCTCACTACTTTTTTCACACACTACTTTTTTTTAAAATTAAACCGAATGATGTGATACCTTCTCCTTTCCGGTTGGAAAGCAGAACTACTACATTACACTACTCACTCACGTCAACGTCAATTACTTAAGTCAAATAGCGTGCAAAATGCAAATTATTGCAAATAGCTTTAACAAAATTGGTGAAAATAAATAATAGCTGTATCCTAAAATTTCATTAAAGGAAACTAAATTAAATATCATAAAATGCCTAAAACAGAAGGATTGCATGAATTATATTATGAACATATTTGTTCCATTACTTCCAAGACCGATGTACTTGAATCAGATATTACTGGGAATGGCTTCGTCATAAATTTGAAAAGGAAATGGTGCGATTTGTTCTTACTTTCATATGAAGATAAAAGGACACGCAATTATTATACAAGTTCACATGCAATTAGATTAGAAAGATTAAGACAATTTCGTCATTGCATATATCGTATACATCCATTTAGTAAGTTTCGGTAAGTAATATCTACTGTAGTTTAATTCGTTAATTTTTCACGTTTTTTTGGATTGTGATGATGTCATTCATCTCTGCCGGAACTAATAATTTTTTTTACCTGCCTCGTACTAAATTATAATAATAATTAATGTCCGAAAATTATAAAATAGTACATGTTGATTATTAAGTTTAATAATGCGTAGATATCTAAAACCTATATTTCTACTGGAATTAGCATTATCGCCTAAAGCATCTTGAAGGACAAGCCATAGACAGTACTTTGATTTTTTTAAATTTTCACTGGAAAGCAATAAATTTATGTGTTATGCATCTTTATCGCTGCTTATTTTCAAATCTAATATTCAGTCTACTACTACTATCTCAACATCTGTCTGTAGTATTAGTACATATCACAATTCTTACCCAACTGCCTCTCTAGTAAGTGCCTAAGGGGAACTTGCTAATGAGAGATGTGATAGAATCTTAACAAGGTCCTGCTTATTATTGATTTTTCTTTATTTTTCCCATAGATAATTTCTAGTGTTTGTGTTTGTGACCTACCTGGTGTTAAGTGTTCAGTGGAGCCTGTAGACATATTAACAATTTAAATGCTGCCATCTACCTTGAGATTTGAGATCTAAGTCTGAATTGTATAGTAATTTTGATAATTGTAAGAATTTTGAGGATTTAATTTTTATTACAAAGTGTTAATACACATGATGTCAGTTCGGATTCAAACATCTGCATAGTTGCATTATTTGATACAGCCCTCTGGGAATCCTATCCTTTATCCCATGACAACTTTTAAAGTTAAAAATGTAGTTCTAAAGAAAGTTCTTTTAAAATATAGTTTTATTTCACAGTAACTTCTGGGACTTCCTTATTGTAAATGTATTTCTTTGCAACAAGATATTACAACACCACAATACTTCAGTGATCTTGGTAACAAATACTATAATTCCCTATTACATAGGGATATTTTTTGAATTCATCATAATTCTTGATTTGTTTGTCAATATGAATACGGGTTATGTTGACAGTGAAAGTAGAGAAATAATTTTGGATTTAAAAAAGGGACTGGTACGGTATTTTTCGACAAAGTTATTTATTCATGTAGCTTCAGCTATACCCGTGCAAGTCATAATTTTTTTGAAATATGGGCGAAATTCATACTGTTCATTGTGCAAGGCCAATATTCTTATCAGCGTGCTACGCCTTCTCAGCATAATCGGTCTATATAGGGTATATGAGACAACAACGTACTGTAACAGAAATAGAAAGTCATTGAAAGCAATACATTTGCACAATTTCTTACGAATAATATTAATTAGTTTTTTCACTATGCTTCAGATTGTTAATTTTTCTGACACTGTCTCTTTACTATACATTTTGGTCAATGATGATATCGATCGTTCATCACATTATGGATATCTCCTTAAAATGTCTTATAAATCAAGTAACTCAATATCAAGTTACAAGAAAATAGCCTATGAATTTCTGAGAGTTTGTAAATCTCTTGTTCTGTTCAGTGTCAGACCTTTAAAGAAAACATATTATCTAGATCTGATATTCTCACTTATGGCTCATTTGATAGCAAATATTTTTTATGTGTGGTGCCTTTTGGAATGCTATGATTTCTTTTGTTGCTACAAGTATACAAATGATCATATAATAATGAATGTAAAGTCATCTGCAGATCTAGTAAAAAGTCGAAAACTTCCCGAAAAAGTGTACCAGAGGGTAGTAAAATATTACAAGTCCAATCTTTCTAAAATGACAGTTGTTAAATGGCAGAACTGCCTATACCGATCATTACCAGATATATTGCAGCGAGAAATCATGCTGAGCTGTTATAGAGGCTACATAATGAGAATACCTTATTTTTGCGATTGGCCTGTGAGTGTCATTGAAGATATTGTTGTTATGCTGAAAGAGAAAATTTATTTGGCCAATGATATAGTTGCAGAGGTTAGTAATTCACAAGGATTTACATTTTATAGTTATAATAGATGGACTCATATGACAAATGCAGTAATTTGAAGAGTATATTGCTTCTAAATTCCAACACCACAACATGAAAATATATTGTACGGAGCCGCAATGTGGTTATAGGCAAGACTCTTACAAAAATAATTGTTTGTGTTTGAACTCATAATTATGTTCAGTAATTACTCTGTTCTAGCCTTGGATTCAAGGTGATGGTCTGATAATAGTAGATGCAGGAGAACTAGCAGTGTATTCGGTTGATGATGAGGAGACTGCTCACCTTATTGATGGAGATTATTTTGGAGAATTGTCTCTTATTACTGACAAGGAAGTCAGGACATCATATGTTGTGACAATAACAGATTCTCAGGTTCGATGCACTATTTAGATTGAAAAGTATTCAGATTTTGTTCATAACTCTCTGAGTTAACTCTTTACTTTACTAAAATGAGTTACCAAGTTCACTAAGATGAGTTCTGGCGCCACCTAGATTAGGGCAGGGTTACTAGAGTCCAGTGACACCGTAATGTAGATGCTGTTATTCATCTTAAGACCCCAGATCAAGATCCTCAATTGCATTTGTGCAATTGCATTGCAAAGGAAATTATAGCAGTAATTCAGGGATTGGTACATAATCTGCATCTTTTGATATTACCGAGGACTTCTTGCCTATGGTAATATTATGGTAACAATGTGTTCAAGAGCCATTTGGTTAATCTTTTATTTCAGATTTTAACGTTAGATAAGGGAGCATTTCGTATGTATATGAGAAATCATACAGACTTGTTCTTCAAATTAAAGCATGTACTCAAAAAGAAATTTAGTGACATCGATTCGACTGAGTGAAGCTGCTTATATGCCTATTGCATCACTGTTTTGATGTACAGTAAAACAGAAACTTCCTTATAGTTTTTATACCGGCTTTAACTCAGGCGGCATAATGTAAAATTTCTATTTCATAGGATTGGGTTTTAAATAAAAAAAATTGCTATTATATAATATCTTTAATGTTTAATTATAAATAACGAATCAAATAGAAATATTTTGCGTTTATTGTGTAATACAATATTATTTTTCATTATTTTCATTCTACAATTGAGTAAGCACCTAGATGGAATTTTAAAAAAAATACATCAAAGACGTAAAGTAGTTTTTTTTTCTCAGTTTTACAAAACGGCTACCCCACTCTTCAAACAGAAACGTATTACTGCATTACGGCATAAATAAGCAGTGTGCAATAGCAATACATACATACGATACATACATAGGCTTACAAGACCATACCGCCATATAGTTTAACTACTATTTGAATTTTGAATGTTTTTGATTTTTCGTACCTAATTCTTTGTAGCGTAAAGACCAGTCTATAAAGACATTGACATTTCGTGTAATTTCGTGTACTGAATGCAGACGCACTTACGTAAACTATAGAAATTGGGTCATACCTACACGATCGACGCGAATCACCGTGTTGCATGTTGCGATTCCGCACCTGTGTCCTGTCGTTTGACGTGACTTGAATTCCCGCGTTGATTTCCTTTCTTTTGGGTTTAGTGATAATTTTATGACATGTAGACTTCTTGAAGATATGATTTTCATAATATAAACAGAGGCTTAATACATACATAATAATACATAAAATATACTACACTGTAAAAAAAAAGTCACATATAAAATCGATGCCATTTTTATAAAGTGAACCAGATTCGTCATATTGATATCATGTACGACCCAGGCGACGGGACAACACAAAGTCGCCGTCGCCAGAAACATGTCTTGTCGGATCCTCGGTGCTTTTAGGCTCTTCAAACACCGGTCAACGTTCTGGTTGAACTTGTCATCGAAGAGTTAGACGAGCGAGCTAACTCATAGACATAGTCCACTGAAATCCACTGAATTTCTCGCTGGATCTTCTCAGTAAGTAGCGGTTTCGATTCGATGGTAGATTCTACGAAGCACTGCTCTTGCTACGGCTAGTGTCAGCAAACTCTCAGGTTGAGCCCCTGTGGTCACCTACCCGTCTGCACGAAGCTTGAATATCCTCTTAGGCTACCGGCGAATAGGTAGGATTATATATTGTTATTTACGACATAGTTAAAGAGCCACGGGCTTACCACAAATCACTTTTGACCTATTTGAAAAAGTCTGAATGCCCAACTCAAAGAAACCCTGTGAAACTGGTATTCATTTGCGATTCTCCTTGAAATATAAAGAAAGAAACATTTTTTACGTAACAAAATATAAATATAAGTTGTAGTGGAAATCTTCTACAGCTCGGGAAATATTATGTAAGTGACTTTATGCTTTACTTACTGCCTTGGACCGGTAATTTGTAATTGTGGTCGTAATACGGGGAAAGTTACGTGAATATGTTAGCATATCAACCGCGTTTTTGTTTTATGGAGCATATAGTCTGTCTCGTAAACTGTGTTGTCGTTTTCAATCAAACGAAAAAATATATTGTTGTTGTTGTTGTTGTAGTCCTAGGGTACCCCGCTGGTACATAGGGCCCGCACAAGTTGTCTCCACTTTACCTCCATTTACCTTTTATAAAAATATATTGTTAAAAAAAATACCACATACCAATTATTATTGTGGATTTAGTTTTCATATGTAATATCTAAACAAGTATTGTAAATCAATGAGTCATCGTATATATTAAGTATTGAAGTATTGACAAATGTGCAGCATTTCAAGTAACGTTGACCCATAGAACACGTCACGTATTAAGTCATCATTTACATAAATATTTATAAACGCTTCATTGAATTTTGAGTTAATGTTACAAAACTTTGACATGTGATTATCGTTAGTAAAAATACCTTTACTTGGTATGATAGCAAAATAAATTGATGATTGCACACATAATATCTTAGGATGAAAGAACATGCGCCCTGGCTAAATAACCGAGCATAATTTTAAAGGTAGGCAGCGGCTTAGCACCGCCCCTGGTATTGCTAACGTCTATGAGAGACGGTAACCATTCACCACCAGATGGGCCGTATGCTCGACTGCCTACAAGTACAATAAAAAAAGAACCGCAAAACCACTATTTACTGGTGGTAGGACCTCTTGTGAGTCCGCGCGGCTGGGTACCACCGCCCTGCCTATTTCTGCCGTAAAGCAGTAATGCGTTTCGGTTTGAAGGGTGGGGCAGCCGTTATAACTATACTGAGACCTTAGAACTTATATCTCAAGGTGGGTGGCGCATTTACGTTGTGGATGTCTATGGGCTCCAGTAACCACTTAACACCAGGTGGGCTGTGAGCTCGTCCACCCATCTAAGCAATAAAAAAATAAAAAAACTATGCCGAAATTAAAAATAATTTAGGAAATTAGCTGATTGCATTACTAATTGTGCTCCACTTAATAGCATGACTAAACAGATCTTTAGTAAGTCCTTTGTAAATACAGGCTTATTCCTTTTGACGTAATCACAATCATTTCTATGTATTTAACTACATATGGTAAATTGTGTTTCAACATAATAAATTCATATAACATGATAAACAATAAAAATTTACGTAATATTCCCAACATAGCACCTTCTGAGCTTCCCGCAAATTGTTTTATGTTATTATGAAAAAGTCTTACACAAAAACGTTTCGACCTCCTCGCTGGTTTAGTGGTTAGTAAACCTAAGTGCCTACTGTACTGCAGTGCCCGTAGTCACCATTTTTTTATCCAAGATATGATTGTTCTTGTCACTTAATTGCTCTGCTAACACTCATAACACAGAAGAAATCTTACTTCGGGTCATTTGGAGCCATTGCGGAACGTAAAGTTTCATATGTATTCAGAAGCAGTAGTTTGAGGGGTAAAGCCAAGCTGTCATGTTATAGATTGCAAATATTTATATCAGGCCGGATACTCCTTTTCGATTTATTGGTAGTTATAGTTAATGATAGTAGCACGGACTCTGTGTTGTCTTATGCGGATCCACAGGGAGTGGTTCGAGATATTGGTTGAGATCTGCCCCTCTAAATTTTACTATCTCTGTGTTCTCTGCTATCCCAGCAGAGTTGTTTCGTGCTACCAGAATCCAACTTTTTATAAAACAATTCGTTGGTCCCCGAATAAATTACCTTTCACGCTCTTTTATAAACACTATGACTTTTTAAACGAGTTTTTCATTATGTAAGTCCTTAGCGGTATAGGGTTGGTTCCTAGTTATTAGTGATGGACTAATGTCACTGTATCCATTCGTCGGAATAAAGAACACATACTGTAATTACAAATTGAACTCATTACGGTTGTTGCGTGTGTGTGTGTGTGTTTGCTCAAAATTGTGAAATCAGCACATACGTGATTGTTTATAAAACACCGGTATAGGTCATGGTTAAGCGTACCGACGATTCCGGATGGATTTAGTAAGCGAGACGGTGAATGACCGAGATATAAAGTTCTCGGAATATATCCGGAACGTATCCTAGAGTGAATTAAGGATAAATTATAAAATCAGGTACATAATAGATATGTCATTTTTTGGTATTTTTTTATTAAATATATTTTTATTTGATTTTCTGTACTAAGTATGTTCGATAGTCCTTAACGTCTTAAATGAAAACGATATAATGGGTGTTGATTCTAAAAAAATATTTATTATAGTAAATTTTCTAAAGACTGGTGTGTTATCTGTGAAGGTATTTAGAGTTTACACCTTAAAAATCGATTCCATTTAAAGCCTTCCTTCTTTAAAGTACGAAAATTTGTGTACAATAGCTAATTAAATAACATCAATGACGTAACTGCTAATAATGTTTATGAATAAAGGTATATACATTTTTTCAGTATTAGAAATGCGTTTACTTAATTTTCAATTGTATATTCATTAAATATCGGACTTAAAAGGTAAACTCCAGACGCGTGTCGCAGCTGGCACCCCTATTGAGTTTCTCGCCGGATCTTCTCAGTGGGTTTCGATTCCGATCTGGTCGTAGAATCTGCGAAGCACTGCTCTTGCTAGGGCCAGTTATCAAATTCACTCAGGTTGAGCCGGGGAGCTCACCTACCCGTCAGGGCGTAGCTGAAATAACCTCATAGGCTACCAGCAAATATACCAGCTAGCTAGCTATTATTTGCTATGCTATGTTTATAAGACTACCAGCTAATAATATTCACCGTCTTAAGTATTTAGTTAGGTAGGTACAAAAACAGAGTTGACTCCCTCTTGCGTCGACATCCACGCCAGTCACACTATTCGTTCTATTATACATTACCGGAGCCCATAGACATCTGTAACGTAAATGTCGCCACCCACCTTGAGATATGAGTCCTAAGGTCTCAGTATAGTTACAACGGCTGCTCCACCTTTCAAACCGAAACGCATTACTGCTTCACTGCTGAAATAACGGTTAGCGATTTTGTTTC